CAGAGTGGAGAAAAAAAATCCTTGGCCTTCATTTCATGGCTTGTTTCTTAGGTTGTTTTCACTTTTATTTTTGTAGCTATTTCCCATTATGAGTGAATTTACTCTCAACGTGCTCTATATAGCCCAAATTTCTATAAGTTTTAAACTTATTTATTTTACTCCCTGCTAGAGTTTTCTCCTTAACTCTCTCAATAATTCCAAAACTGAACTTGTCCCTCACTTAAACTAATTCCTCTCCAAACATTCCTCCCCTTTGTCCCTCACTTAAACTAATTCCTCTCCAAACATTCCTCCCCTTTGATACTCACCTTTGTTAAGGTACTACACGCATCCAGTTACCCAAACTAGAAGGCTCATAGTGTTCCTTGACTCTTTGCTCCCCCTCAACGTCCAAGTCCTATTATTTACCACATATTACTGATTTCAATTGATTAAATCTCTGGTCTTCTTTCTATCTCTCCATCTATTACCTTACTTAGTTCAGGTGCTCAAAGAGGTTTCTGCTGCCCAGAGATAGTTCTGCAAATATCCTTATGCATGCTTTTCTTTCCCACCCCTTTTCTCAACCATCCCATACAGTCTCTAGAGTAATTATTCTAGAGTGAATAAGTATATTATAGCCATCTCCTAATTAAAACTCTTTGAAGTACCTTCATCACTTACAGTCTTAGATCTAAATTCCTTACTAGAACATACAAGTTATCTGTAACAGGGACCATCTCTATCATTCCAGATATATTTCTTGCGATTCCCTGCCTTGTGGATAATGCTTCAACAGCACTAAAACATGACATGTATTACTTTAGTAATTTTACTTATACATTTCTTTAGAATTCCACTGACATCCTACCTTACCTCTATATAAATCTAAATAATTCCAATTCCCCTTTCAAGTTATAGCCTGGCTGTCTCCTCCATGACATCGCTACATAATGTTTACTACCACCATGTTGCCAAACATTAGTGATTCCTTAGTATGTTGTGCATAGCTTTAAGTAGAGGTAAATACGAGGGGAAAAAAAAGTTAGGTGTGGGAGTAAATTTTTAAATATAAAAGGTATATTTACTAAAATAAAGGCTATGTCTTAATAAAGGGACATTAGGGGCGCCTGGGTGGCTCAGTCGGTTGAGCGTCCGACTTCGGCTCAGGTCATGATCTCACAGTTTGTGGGTTCAAGCCCCGCAACAGGCTCTGTGCTGACTGCTTGCTCAGAGCCTGGAGCCTGCTTCAGATTCTGTCTCCTTCTCTCTCTGCCCCTCCCCTGCTCACGCTTTGTCTCACTCTGTTTCTCAAAAATAAATAAAATGTAAAAAAAAAAATTTTTTTCAAAAAAATAAAGGGACATTAATACAAGGTAACATGATATCCATTCTAAATGTTGGTTTAAAGGTTGACTGTGTTTAAAAATACACAGTGACTCGGAGATCAATTTGTGCTGGTTAGCATAACTGGGTCAGAAGAAAAAGTGTTTTGATTCCTACTATTGGTTAATATTTGTCTCCCGAAACAATATAAAAGTTTAGCAAATATTATTTAAGCCTCTATTCATCTCTTCCAAAGAGACTGCCTTCATAATTTTTCATTTTACAACGTTGGGGTAAAGAGACCAAGGTTCTGATTCTTCACAGACTGGGGAAGCCATGTGGAGTTTACTACATTCATTCTAATCAGATAATTGCAGATTTCATATAGCTAAACTACAATCCACTTGGAGCTATTAACATAATATTTATCCCAGAAGGGGAATTCCTAGACTATTGCAGTAAATGCCACCTTGAAATCTGGGCTGGGAAACTGGACACTTAGAGGGTTGGTGCTAATTTTCTTTTCTCCCCCACCGCCCCCTCCCCCCCGACCCCTGCTTCCTGTCTTCCTTCTTTCCCTCCCTCCTTCCTTTCTTTTTTTCCCACAACTCTCAATAAAGAGATCACATTTCCTTTAAGTGTTCAGTTATTTTGGCTCAAGAAGGTGAGTTGGGGAAAATTTGGAAAATTTAGTTCAAAACCATTCCAGAAGAGAAAGAGATGGATGCAGATTTGAACTCTGTCAAATAGGTAAAAGAAGAACAACGTAGCAAGGGAAATGCGGATATTTCTAAGAACGGATTCCACCTCTGGATATGTAAGTAAGTAAAGTGGAGACTAATAGGAAAAGGAAAAGGTGTCAAGAGAGTGGCGTTCTCTATTGAGATAAAAGAACTAGTAAGGTAAAAGTAGTTCAGTAAAAAATATATACGAGAGAATGATGTGTAGTTCTGGTCCAAGAACAAAGTATGTGAATTAAGAATTAAAAAAAAAATTTTTAATGTTTATTTATTTTTGAGACAGAGAGAGACAGAGCACAAACGGGGGAGGGTCAGAGAGAGAGGGAGACACAGAATCGGAAGCAGGCTCCAGGCTCCGAGCTGTTGGCCCAGAGCCCGACGCGGGGCTTGAACTCACCGACCGTGAGATCATGACCTGAGCCGAAGTCGGATGCTTAACCGACTGAGCCACCCAGCAGTCCCTAAGATTTTAAAGGTAGAACAATTTCACATATGATTCAGAGTATGGCTATGGCAGTGACTGACTAAAGTAGAATCGGGGATAATTCACTACCTCCAATTTGAGATGGCCAAGAAAGAGAGTGGGTGCTGAATAAACCATTCAGGTGAAAACTAACATCATTCTGGCGGATGGCAGGGATTATGAAAAGGAAGACTAAAGCCAGGTGCTAAAATCTTCCGTGAATAAAATGGATTAATCAAGAAGTCACCAGATGATCTATATACAAAGGTACAGAGGTTGAGTTAAAGACAAGATGCCTAGAATATTATGGTAATAAACTCAGGGTAGGGATACATGTATATTTTCAATAATCCCAGAATCTCATAGTGGATTGAAGTGAGGATCAGAAGGACTGAGTAACTCAAAAAGTTAGCAGAGTGAGAACAAATTATCAAAGTCCCTTTAAAAAAAAAAGCAAAGGAAGGTGATGTTAAGCTGAAAATTCAGTATAGTGTTTACTATTTCAGTGAAAGAGGCATATGGATTCCATAGGCAAAGATCTTACAGGTAGATACAATAAATAAAACCGTATTATTCTGGTTCTCAGTTTAGGTAATAGATTCATGGATGTTCATTTTATCATTATGCTTTACAATGTACACACATTCTTTTTTATGTATCAAACTGGTAATGATGAAAGAGAGTATTTTTAAAAGCAACTAAAGAACTTCATTCTTACAAAATCCACCCAATTTATCTAGGAGTACGTGTACATTAGCCTCACACACTGGCATCATTTAAATGATGGCAAATCTTACAGTAGGATATTTGATCACTTGTTTTCTAAAACTGATTTTCCTAACTGTGTTGTACTTTAATATAAACATTAATGATATTGTGTTTCCTGACCATAGACAAAATTATGGCCCAAAAGGCAATTCAGAAATGTATCCTGCTAGGCTAGAGGTCAGAATTTGGGTAAGTATATGACATTAATGACCAACCCAGAGCTGATCAAGAACTGATTCTATGTATGTTGGTTTGTTGAAAGAACAAATAATATAAAGCAATCTGCTTACTAATAATGAAGATAAATAGAATATTAACAAAAACTAATGTGGTACAAGATTTTAACTCACAGTTAAAGGAAGATACTAGAGTAATTAGAATAAGCCTATAATCAGTAATGTCTCGTTCATGGTATCCACTTTAAGGAAGGTCTTGGTCAATTATGAGGAGTTCTGTAACTATTTCTTCACATTTTTATGATGTGAGTGTGTAACCACTGCAACTCCAAAATAGTCAAAAATAATATAGAGCAAAAGTAACAGTAAAACATGTAACAAAAAATAATAATTTAGTATTATAGCAAAATAACAGAAAAGAGGCTGAGAAAATGCAAAACACAATATAATACAGCAATTATCACTATCATATAACAAACTGGAAGGCAGTAAATGTCAATTACATTTACTGAAAGACATCACAAAACTTGAGTCATTAGGTATTTATTGTTGATGTTATCTCTTATGTTTCCTTCCACATTTATCTACATGAATTCAATCCTTAGGAATTTACTCATTAGTTTCAATTATTTTTTCTAAACTTTTAAATTAATAACTCTTAATAAATTAATAGTACAAAAGTGGTCACACATAACCCAAATCACTTTGAAACAACAGAGTGAGTACAGCATATAATCCTTTATCTACACTAGCTGAACCTGCCACATTATCACCGCCATTCTCTTCTCTGTCTGCAGGGACTCAAAATGATGTCACAGAACCAATTCAAATCCCTGAAGCTACATAGAGCCTTGAGAAACTGTAAGCTTTTAGAGACTTTCTTTCCCTTCTCTTTCTAGTTTATCCTTCTTTCTGTTAAATGCCAAGTAACTGATATTTCCCTTCAATATAAGGAGAATGGTGGAAAAGTAGAAATGAATAAGGATTTTCCCCCACACCCAATATTCTCCATGGATCCAGGACTATCTATGACCATTGAGTAGATCACAGCCACCTTGGACAAGGTAACCATAAACTGATCAGTTCAATCTAAGTACTTACAGGACTGATTCCTCAATTGTGGTGAGGGGGAGATGGGGAATCAGATTGTAAGATGTATAAAAATCAATCAGTTCCTTCTATATATATAATTATGAACTCTGCTGAGGAAGGTGGTCAGTTAAATGCAATTAATTTTTTAAAATACTGTTATTCTATCCTTCCAGATAATCAAGAGTTAACTGTAATTTCTGATGAACTAAATTTTTAGAATGATCCAAGAAAGGATACTAGCTCATTAAAGGAAAGCTATATTTTTGACCTCTTACTGCAATTAAAATATTTACATATGCTACATTTTCTACTATTTTATAGTAAGATAATATTTCTATATTTCATTAATAATCATATATGTATATATAAAAAAACAGAAACAGAAGTGAATTCTATCATATCAACAGACAGGCACATGCAATTCTATGAACAGACTCAATTGTAAGAAAAATATACCTGCCATCCCTGTGATGGTGTTCAATGGTCTGACTGTATCTGGAGCGAGGTAGAGTAAGAAACTGACTGCAAGCGTGGCAGAAACAAGAATAAAAATGAGACTCAGGAAAGAAATGAAAAGGTATAGTTTAATTTTAAAAAGTGAGATTCAAAAAAGATAAGCAGATAGTAAGCAAAGCAAATGAAAATTGTTAATAGAAAGCTTGCTCCTTCCTCCCAATGTCCATTGTATATGGCAGTGCTAAAGGTTAAAATAGCTAAGTATTCCAAAACAAACACACCAAAAAAGATAACAAATCAAGATTTAAACCAATCAGATTTCAAAACAAAATCTTATCAATTATCAAACATCTTTAGCACCATCTATAAAATGTCATACAACATAGTTGCTTTCCCTTTTTTTAGGAGGAAAGAGAAGAAAAAAATAATAAAATAACGGAAAGTTTAAGAAGAAAATAATAAAATAATAATAAAACATTCACTGTGTTTTTTTTATATGTTTATAACATACTATTGGCTGTGCTATGTTTCATGCCCCATGACCACTTTACCCATCTGTGGTTGATTCTCTTCTTTCCATAGCGCTAATTTAACCCTTTTATCTTCTTAGAACCTTTCATGCCAAAACTCTTAATTTTGACAGATGATCATTATATTCCAGTTAAAAAAAAAAGAAACAACCTTGAACTCTCTCAACTTCCCTATTTTATCTCTAAATATAGAGTATATATATTTATACCTTCATTTGCCATTTTTTTTTGCACCTAAGGAAGAAACTTCTCTACTTGTAATCCTAACTTCCCACATATCCTTCCATCATTCATGATTGTTTCATGCCTTCCTTTCCTGAATTGCATTTAATCCTAAAAAATAAACCCTTCATTGATCTCGCCTTCCTCTCAAAATATTGCATGTTTCTGACTTTCCTTCACAACATTCGACATCTTAGCCACATCTACAACTCTTGTCACCACTTCATCATGCGTTCATGCTTTAAGCTTACCATGATGTGACTGCAACCTCTACATTTCCCTTGAAGCTATCCTGTGAATGTTACCTGTGAAATCCTAAAAAAATCCTTCAACTTCTTGATCTTCATCATATTACATTTATTTATGGTGTTACACCCTGATTTTCAACCTCTTCTTGACATTCTCTCTTCTCTTGGTTTTTGAAACATGATTATCTGGCTATTAAAAATAGTATTTATAGGGGCACCTGGGTGGCTCAGTTGGTTAAGCATCCGACTTTGGCTCAGGTCATGATCTCGCGGTTTGTGGGTCTGAGCTCCACATTGGCCTCTGTGCCAAGCTTAGAGCCTGGAGCTTGCTTCAGATTCTGTGTCTCCCTCTCTCTCTCTGCCCCTTCCCCATTCTCTCTCTCTCTCTCTTTCTCTCTCTCAAAAATAAAATAAACATTAAAAAATGTTTTTAAATAGTATTTATGTAACACTTAACCATGTAACAAGTACTCCATTAAAGTTTTGTCAACTTTATCTCATTTATTTCTCATAACAACTCTTTGAGGTAGGGTCTAGTATTGCCACAGACCAAACAACTGAGGCTGTGAGTATCTGCCCACAGCCAGATAGTAAGTAGCTGGACTGGGATTCAAACTTAGGTCTTCCTTAAGCCAAAATTCAGGCTCTTATGGCCTGGTCTCCCGTCTAGCTAACTGCTTCTTTACCCATTTCATTTACTGGATTCTCTCTCTCTTTATTCCTTAGAGGCAATGGGTTCCCAAGATGTGTTCCTCAAACTTTATATTCCAACACATTCTTTCTGGATAATATTATTTGCTTTTATAGTTGTAAACTCTCACTTTTTTTAGCTTTCATTTTTCTTTGGGTTTCACAGCACATTCCCAGCTGCTTCCTGGGCTCTCCACATGGCTGCCTGAGTGTCATGTAGATACTTCAGAAAAACACATGTTAATTTTGAGGTTTGAACAAGACACTTGCCTATTTGGACGTCTGGTGCTGCATTTGTGAAATGAGGGGGCTGGAGCAGTGGTTTTTAAACTTTCTTTTTGAACAGAAGATCACTGGTGTTTTTTTTTTTTTTTTTTTTTTGAACAGATTTTTATGTAAAACCAGCAATTAGGAATCCAATAAAATCAGAATGACTGGCTGACAAGGGTGTGAGGGGATTAGTCCCTATGCATTCGGCTTCACCCTTAATCTACAACAGCAATCCTTCAGGTACCTCTTTAGAATCTAGGACTCCACGATCTCCCTCTAGCTTCAAATATAGTTAACTCTCCCTTGAAACTTAGTATTCCTCTTCCCGTAATAACTAAGGATTTAAATATTTACTTAATAAACCAACTTTTAAAAATCTCATAATTTGGGGCGCCTGGGTGGCTCAGTCTATTGAGCGTCCGACTTCAGCTCAGGTCATGATCTCGTAGTCTGTGAGTTCAAGCCCTGTGTCGGGCTCTGTGCTGACAGCTTGGAGCCTGGAGCCTGCTTCAATTCTGTGTCTCCCTCTCTCTCTGCCCCTCCCCTGTTCAAGCTCTGTCTCTCTCTCTCTCTTTCAAAAATAAACATTAAAATTTTTTTTTTAAATCTCATAGTTTAACTCCTCCATTTTCCTTATTTTCCCCATTTAATTGATTTATAAACCTTGCTAGTTCTAATGCCTAAATAACTCAGTTTTATCTCTTTTTTTTCTTCTGCCACTACCGTAAATCAGGCTTACCAAGTCTACTGAAATAATCTACCGTTTCCCTTCCTTCAAAACCAACCCTTTCCTGATGTAATCTATTCTTCACTCTGTCTATTTGAAGTATATTTGCAAATTATGCTTCTGATCATGTACAAACTTTGCTCCAAATCCTTCAATGGTTTCACATATCAAATATAAGTATATATATTCCCTTACATGGCATACTAATTAAGTTCTAAACTACCTTCAATCTTCATATCCTATCACTTCCTATCTCCCATACTATAATACTTTATCTAGACACACCAGACCATGGAAGATTCTCTAAATATACCCCCTCCCCCCATTCTCCTGACTCCAAGACTTTGTTAGTGCTCATCACTCTGCAAAGAATGCCATCATTCTCACCATGTCCCCACTTCATGGCCTTTGAAAATTCTACTTGATCTTTAAAGTCCAATTTGCCTTTGAAGCTTTTTTCCAATACTCAAGCAAGTAATTCTCTCTCCAATCTGTTCTAATAATATTATACTTAGGCCTTACAGTCTTCTATGTTTTATAATTAGTTGGTATATTATATAATATAATTAGTTGGGATATATGAGCTGGTATAATTAGTTGGATCTTCTGTTTATCTAGGCCAGGATAATGTCTATTTTAAATCTTTGCACACTCAATCAGTACATTTTGGATTGAATTAAAAAGTAAAAACAGAATTATGCTATTTTCATGGTGAGCCTCCAAAAACAGCAATGGTTCACATAATCATAGAGACATTCTAGAAATGTAAACAGAACATTACAAACTTTTGTAGTATAAGAAAATAAATAAAACAGTATTCAGAAAAGAATTTCCTGGCTCTACAGGGTGGAAATAATACCCAACAGTTGTGATGTTGGGATTTATTGCCTTAAGAACAAATAGATTTTCTCTGAAAATAACTTGACCAATGAAAAGAGGTAAACTTCAAAGCTTATTAAAATTTTCAAATTCATAGAACATATATATTGTCATACAATTTCTTACATTTTCCTCGAGGAGCCTGTGATTAATTTTGCCTCTATAAAGAAAAAGGAAACATTAAGGGAGGACTACCTTTGTCAAACATCAGTTTACTTCCCTTTTTGTGATAGTGAATTTAAATAGCCTGAGGAATACTCATAGTAAGTGTTATTTCTGGGTGTGTCATTGAGGATGTTTCCGGATGATATTAACATTTGAATCAGTGGACCCAGTAGATTGTCCTTCTCAGTCTGAGTGAGCATCATACAATCTGGTGAGAGTCACAGCAAAACAAAGTAGGCAGAAGGAAGAATTCCTCCCTTTTTCCTGCCTCATTTTAGAGCTGGACATGTCTTATCTCTCTCCCTCACACGAGGATTTCCTGGCTTCCCTGGTTCTCAGGCCTTCAGACCTGGACTGAATTATGCTATCATTTCATGGGTCTCCAGGGTGCATAGATCAGATGGGAGGACTTTTCAACCTCCTCCATCACTGTGCGAGCCAATTCCTTATTATCTATCTATTCTACTGGTTCTGTTTCTTTGGAGAACTCGGAATGCATACTTTTCTATAGTCATGTTATTCCTCTTAACCTAATCTGGTCATGATCCCCCTTAAGATTCTGTTGAAAACTATAAAAATGCATGGAAGACTAGTACATAAAATGAACCACACTGTTTTGGTAGTAAAATCTACCTAAGATCCAGAGATTTATCTAAGACTCTTTGCCACATCCACTCGGTACAATTTAAAAATATTTCATTTACTCTTCTCAATTAAACCATGCTTACTTTTCTTCCAAGATTAATGGAATTATTAAACTTAAGCAAACACTACTGTCTTGAATACACATAATGAGTTAAGTAATGACTTAAAAAATTATGTTAAAAATTGTAATTCATCCAATCTTTTTGAATTTTTTAAAAAAGTTGAGCAGAGTAAAAGAAAAAAATAGAAAATTAAAAAAATTACTAAATTTTAAAAACTGAAAAAAGGGATTAAGATTCAAAAATCATAATGGAAATTCTCAGTATTGAAAGAATTGAACTGGATTACTGATCCAATTTCTAGACATACTTCGAGTCTTATTAAGAAATAAAATCTTTAAAAACAGAACAAAATTGTATTTATAATGAATTATCCTTCCATCATATCAGATGAGCCTGAAGGTCCCCTTTTAAAAACCACCAAACAAACAGGACTGCAAAAGGAGGAAATAAAATATCTCATTCTGAAATAACCTATAGCTTTTGAAAGCAAAGTTTCCAACAATCTCACCTTAATGCAAAGCTTTCTGTTCTGTGTCTTTTATATTGTTAATGTTTTGCTACTTTGTAGTTCCTAAAATTAATTCAGTATGATCGAGGTATGTTAAAATTTACTCCTGAAGTGTAATAAGTAAAACGTATTATTTTTGCAACGAGAGGTTTTTTTTTCATTTACTTTCTCTGTATTTTCAAACTTTCAGAGATATGGTTCCCTCATAGTTGGTAACTAAAAAGACCAAGAAAACAATAGTTATGGGTCAGTTGGACACTTTCTGGTAGCTGGTTGGCTGACAAAAAGTAGAGAAATGGCCTAAGTGTGTGAGGTATCCTAGAGATCCACATAACATGGCATTTTTCTTTTTAGAATATAAATGCACAACAGAAAAACACTTCCGAAACAATATATCTTAGGCCAGTGTTAATAGTATTTTTTGTCATTATCCTAAAAGTATACTGCATAAAATTAAAGGTACCCAATATATTTTGGTCTCCAGGACAGACATAAAAATGAATACTGCAGGATATCTCTGACATGTTACAGAAATATTATCTAGTACTCTATAATTATTCTAATACTAACTTAACTCATGTAAACAAGCTCTTGAAGTGATTTCTAATATGAAAGCCACATAAGTTGTCCCAGGAAAATTATGTTCCTAGTAGTAGTTACCAGGATTTACCAGAGAAACAATGATCCAAAATGTATGGGGGCGAGGGGATGGAGAAGAAGATGAATAATGTTATAATTCATCATTTTAGCTAACAGCCCTGCATCCAAGTTTCTGAGTTACTTGTAAAGAACCTATTTTCTTTTCAACACAGGATAGGATTTTGACTAATGATAACAGAGATGTGCAGAGATATAAAGATCCAATCAAATGTTGATATAGGATTCTTTTTAACACCACCTATAAGGATATGAATACTATATTTCCTCATATCACTTAGTTTAGCCAGACACTATAAATTAATGCCGAATAGTAGTATTTTTCATCCAATATAGCCAATGTAAAAGTCATTATCTTTATGCACAACTTTCCAATATGTCAAGTCTTCATTCACACTGGGTCTTTCTGATATATATATGTGTTCTGCCTCTGTATTTATGCTCTTGCTCTCTCCTGAATAAACCTCTCCGTTTTTCAAGGTCCAACTCATGTTTCTACGCTCTAAAGCTTTTTTTTACAAATACCTGTATTAACTGATTTCTCATATTTCTACTTAATAGGCACATTAAAATGTCACTTGTCTGTAAGCCACAAGATCCTCTAAAATGTTAAAGGTAAGGCACACGTTTTGAGTACAAATATCCAAGTTCAGTATTGCAACCGGAGGTGCTGTGTCATTTAATCTACCCAACAACTCTATGAAGTTGGTACTATGTTCTAATTTTATAGATAAAGAAATCAAGCGTCAAACATGTTAATTTTCCCAAAGTAACACAGCTAGCAAGTAATAAAAAGCCTAAATTCAAACCCAATGCCATTTGGTTCCAAATCCTATAAAAGAAAAGAGTATATTAAATAGAATATTCTGGTCCAGTGCACCAATTATTACTGACAAGAAAAGTTAATGCACTCCTCAAAATGCCTAAATTTTACTTACTATCTCAAAGGAAATTCTCTTTTAGGTTTTTTTAATTAACAGTATTACTGACTGACTCTATAAAATGCTATTCACAAAAATTCACTGCAAGACTTCTAGGGTATTCTTACCTTCTAAACAGTGCATAAAAATTACGATGCCTTCACATGCATTCTATTATTGAAAATCTTTTAGAATATTTAGAATATAAAGGATAAAAAAGAAATCAAGAATCCATTGTTTAATAATGTGATAGGCTACCTAACATGGATAATACTATACTTTTTGATTTTTGATTCCTCATGTTAATAAGTAATTATTACACAGATAACTCAAAGCTAATATATTAGAAAAAGTTTTGTAGTCCTATATAAAAGAAATTCTATTTTACTAATTAAAAAAATTTTAGGGGCGCCTGGGTGGCTCAGTCGGTTAAGCGTCCGACTTCGGCTCAGGTCATGATCTCGCGGTCTGTGGGTTTGAGCCCCGCGTCGGGCTCTGTGCTGACAGCTCAGAGCCTGGAGTCTGCTTCAGATTCTGTGTCTCTCTCTTTCTCTGACCCTCCCCTGTTCATGCTCTCTCTCTCTCTCTCTGTCTCAAAAATAAATAAACATTAAAAAAAATTAAAAAAAAATTTTTAAACATCTCCCAGTTAGAAGTAATTATAATCTGGTAATCTATAGCACTCTAAAGACTTGCTGAAATTTCAGGGATCAAATGCTTCCAAAACCTCTGAATTATTTGAACATTTTGCCAAACTGAAGATTCATAAAGTTATAAAATAAACAAGAAAAATAAAATGACATATCAATTATAACTATATTAACTATATACCAAGGATTGAACAGCAACTTTTTTTTAACATTAATACTATGGCCTTTTGTCTTAAAATATTGATAAATTATTATGTGTTTGATATAATAGTGACAATTTTGTTTGTGAGGATAATTCGAGAGGTTAATTTTACTCTGTTCTTCTCTGCAAGATTTAGACCATATTGTCTTCAGAGAAAATATCAGGTCCATTTCTCCTTAAAGAAAAACTTTACATAAACTTGAAGGATTTAAAGTCATTTCAGACATTTTTTTCTTTTGTCGTGTCCTTAACAATCTTTCAAACAGCAAAGAGTTTATGAACTGCTACATGAATCATTTCCAGAGATTATCAAACTCATTAGAATTCTATAAGGCAACAAAAGTACTCATTCACCCAGCCTAATATGACTCCTTCCAACTCCTAATCATGCCAACAAGGGATCTTTCACTTAGTATTGTACTTGATGTGAAACCATTTCTATAGGCACCATATCTATAATTACCCCTAAAAACACAGATCATGATGAAAAAGTTAAACAAATGAAAAAGAAATAAAATACTACATTAACTTTCATTTGACAACTCATAAAGATATTAATTTAATAACTTCCTACTTCTTAGATCTCAGACACAAAAGCCAATGATTGTTCGCCACTATTGAAGACTATAGATAGACGTTCCCTATCTTTTCTTTTGGAAAAGTGTACTCAACACGATAAAATTATAAGCCCGAATTGACTATAACCCTTGATTTAGACAAAAACAATTAAATTCATAAGTACTGACAATGATAAATATTGGGAACTTCTCATATCAGTTGATTTAAATGTCTTTTTAAAAATCGGTTTAGGATGCACACAAAGCGACTGCTGAGTTTCCTTGTTATTTTATCATAATATTCTCTGAAGAGTAAATTAAGCTTTCTTTCCTAATCCTCATCTCGAACCCATTTGATAGTGTGGGGGAAATATCATAGCATTTTTCACTTTATATATAACCAAACCAAGAATTAGAGGGTTAATCAATTGGCTTAACTTAAAAGCAAACTAGTAGTAATTATCATATGCATTGAAACATATGTCATTTCTAAGTATGTCACATTTAGTGGAGCAAATTCAGAGAATTCCTCCAAATCCAGCAATCAACAACCATAATGCTTTAAGATGCGGAAAAGGTTTACTGAAAGCCATGAGGAAAAACCTCTTCATGAATCAGTTTTTGTGTCGGTTTCCAAAACAAACCAGGCTTGTCTCGTCAAAGTATTTTTACAGGTAATGATTGGTTATGATAATGTTAAAATAATAAAACATGTCATTTTCATTATATTGTCCTTATAACCTCATGTGAAAACTCACTAACTTAACTGGTTTGAGTTAACAAAGGACCAAAACGGCAAGAGCAAGATGATTTTTTTTTTAAACCAACGAAAAGTTTGTTCTTGTTGGTTTCTTTTTTTTTTTTTTTTTTTTTTACCTGGTGGTCATAAGAATGAATGTAGGAATTGTAAAGGAAATGGCTTTCAAAAAAGAGATGACAAATATCCAAGTTCAGTATGAAAATATTTTACGGTAATACCTTCTTCCTGAAGGCAGCGATTATAATAAGCTCTAATAGGATTTAATCCTATTTACCTGTCTCTATCTGGAGAATAATGGTCATCCATCACACGATGTCTATCCATTCGGCTAATTGTATTATAATGTCCAGCAGCAGACCGTGTTCCTCGAAGTCCCTGTTCCACATTCCGACTGAAATAGCAAAATCCATTAAGTGTCTTAATGAACCATAATCATATACTACATTAAGAAATGAAGTTTATTAATAAAGTAGAAAAAGACAAAAATCACTCTAATGTCAAGTCCGAGATTTTTGTTTTAACTAACTGAACCTCTGGCTAATGGGATACATTTCAACTGGAGGTTGACAGGGAAGTTAGATTGTTGCTATAACAGATATAAACATAAAACTAAGCTAATATCAATGGGGATAGAGATAAGAATTATCAGAATTATTAATGGACAACCCCCAGGTTTCTAGTAGTAATTCTTACATAAAATACAGAAGGAGGAATAAATCTGTGTGGAGAAAATGAGTTCAGCATGTTGCTTGTAGTTAATATTGCTGTATCTTGTCTTAGGGATATGACTTTTATCCGTTTTTTACAATCTAAACTGAAGTCTTTATAACTGATCAATGATGACTTTTTAAAGTTAACATTCTTGGCCTGGATTGTCTACTTACACACTTCGTTTTCATGATAGAATAAACTTCTTATATGAGCTCTTATTATGGGCTTTCTATTAGGTGTAGCTGAATGTATTCTAAAACTTTGCCTATTTTCTTTAGGTATGTTCAGATATTCTTTTCCTGGTAAAAAGTCAAGCATCCTTCTTTTTTTCTTTTTTCCTTTTTAAATAAGGAATGGTGGGGCACCTAGGTGACTCAGTTGGTTAAGCGTCCTACTCGTGATTTTGGCTGGGGTCATGATCTCACAGTTCGTGAGTTCAAGCCCCGTGTGGAGCTCTGCGCATGTGCAGAGCCGGCTGAGGCTTCTCTCCCTCTCTCTCTCTCTCTCTCCCTCCTACCCAACTCTCTCTGTCTCAAGACAAATACAAATAAATAAACTTAAAAAAATAAGGAATGGCTTAATTTATTAAAGTTAAAATTCAAAATCCAGTTCTCTCTCAAACTATTTTTTTTCCAATTTTTAAGAAACATTTATTTATTATTGAGACACAGAGCACATGTATGGGAGGGGCAGAGAGAGGGGGAGACACAGAATCGGAAGCAGGCTCCAGGCTCTGAGCTGTCAGCGCAGACCCCGATGCGGGACTCAAACTCACAAGCTGCGAGACCATGACCTGAGCTGAAGTCCGATGTTTAACCGGCCAGTCACCCGGATGCCCCTCTCTTAAACTTTAAATTTCAGATTACAAATATTCTATTGATAGGTCTACCACATTTAAGCAATTACTTTTCAGAAGACTTTTAATAGTTTTAGTCTCATTTACAAACTTAGTAAAATCAAAATCTTCAGACAATTTAAACAATGTTTATAAATTTAATATTTTTTCTTTGTAATTACTTTAATGGTGTCTAAATTAAGTAAACACTTTCTAAGTACTTATATTCATATATATTAAATAAATTAAATTTATAAATGTAACAATCTTAAGTTCTCTTAGTCCAATACTATGTGTAAAATTAAAATTACAAGGAAAATTTCTAAAGCTAAAACTAAATTATTCGTTTAAAATAGGCATTATACGACTATCATTCTAAGAGTTCAAATTTTCTTAATGTAAAATGTAACGTATGTAAAATGTGAATTATGTAAATATATCTTGTCAATAAATACATTATTTCCATGGCTCTTATTCCTTTAAGCCTCTCTGTCTTTAACAGGATTGCTTAGAGTTTTCCACCAGGCACTGGACGTTTTCTGAGCCATTCTTCCCTCTACCTGTGCATCGTTTTTAATTCTTTGCATGATTGCTCCTAACCTAGAAACCCCATCAGATGTTTATTTTTTCCTATTTCTTAAATTATCAATACTAATATCACTCATGAGTATAGTTAATTGGTTCTAACTAGATCTGCTCAGTACGGATAAGTAACTGAAAGCGGGATCTTCTTTAAAATCTTCAACTCTCTGGGGCGCCTGGGTGGCTCAGTCGGTTAAGCGTCCGACTTCAGCTCAGGTCATGATCTCACAGTCCGTGAGTTCGAGCCCCACGTCGGGCTCTGGGCTGATGGCTCAGAGCCTGGAGCCTGCTTCTGATTCTGTGTCTCCCTCTCTCTCTGCCCCTCCCCCGTTCATGCTCTGTCTCTCTCTGTCTCAAAAATAAATAAAAAAAAATGTTAAAAAAAAAATTTAAAAAAATAAATAAAATCTTCAACTCTCACCTAAAAGAATACATACTTTAACCAGAGTTACAAAGTGGCCCATATTTTATTTGACTCTCACTATTTAGTTTATTGAAGAGAATATTTGCTTTTCCTCCAGTAACTTTTTTTCTGTCAGAATTTATTGCCTTTAGAGATTAGTAATGATTCTTTGTGATAAATAGGTTTCTCATATTATCCTACAAATAAAATGTATATGGTATCTTACCTTTGTGGAGGAGGGACACTAGGTGACCATGACCTAGTCCTTCCTATAACATCTACTCGGTGAGGAGATCCTGTTGGTGAGCAATGGTTTGATGACATTACTTGTTCTGGCACTGATAATGTTGAGCTTTGAAGATCTCGACCATTGTGTCGATAATCTAAAGGTACAAAGATTAAAAGTACAGTTATCTACCCACTAAGTCCTTTTGTATTTTGTACTTTAGTGAAAAAATTAAATGTTGGTGAAGTTGAAAGTCTTTGACTCTATGAAATGTAAAGCATAATGAACAAAACATAGTACTATAATATAAAAATATTTTAATTGTGCTAGGTAGATTAAAACTTTTATATATAGCGAATTATCTTCTTGTTAAAGTCTATTTATTTTTGAGAGAGAAAGAGAGAGTGAAGGGGGTTGGTGCAAAGAGACAGGGAGAGAGAGAATCCCAAGCAGGCTCTGCACTGTCAGTGCGGAGCCCGACATGGGGCTTGATTCCGCAAACCATGAAATCATGACCTGAGCCGAAATCAAGAGTCGGACGCTTAACTGACTGAGCCACCCAGGTGCCCGTAGGCAGTTAATTATCTTTAATAAAGGATGCAAGTTTATTCTAAAAACATTGTCATCTCTTCAATGAAATAAAAGAGCTTCAGTTACGTCTCAACAACTATAAATATTCAAAACGATTAACTTCACAAAAGTTCATAAAAGTCTATGATTATTTCTTTAAGAGATAAACAATATTAGAAAGCATTCTGAATACTATCTGAAGTACCTGTGTAAATGGCTTTTCTTATAGTGCTTGACAGGGCTGAGATACAATAGATGACTGAAAATAAAAATACGACAATTCGGAGGAGGGAAACAGCCCAACGATTTGACACGCTTAGAAAAAAAGTGTAATAGAAGTGATATAACTCAAATGAATCTTGGAAAGCAATTGATATTTGACAGATGGGAAGAAAGTAGAAGGAATTCAAAGTTGGTAGAAAAACAGCAGTACTATGTGGTGCAAAAGTAGGGAAATAGTTTGGTAAGTCTGACTCAAGTTGTATATATCTAAAACATCAGGAGGCTTGTCGTGGAAAAAAACCTGAACGTTTCTGAGCAGGAAGTGAGATTATCTCCACCACCATTATCTTTATCGTGTTCATCATGGCTGCTTTTGACTTTTCACTATGTGCCAGGAACTCTGCTGGGTACTTTACTAAGTGTTCTGCTACAACACTTGTTTCAGAAATAACTCAGAGAAAGTATTGGTTCGTATGCGATTTTTCCCAACATGTTAACATGCTGCGGTATTATCTGAAGTTGGTTCCTGAGAAATAGAGCAAGAGAAAGAAGCGGGTGGACATGAATGATTGAAGGAGTGGCCTCAGGAAAAAGGAATTAGAAGAGCAGAAGAGGGCATGGGAAGAAACGAAGCACAAGCATTGACCTCAGTCAGATCCCCCTGAAGCCTCTGGAACATGAGTTGTACCGGTGTTGCTCCGACTTTGAGGCGAGGATCCTAGACTTTTGTGCTCCTAGGTTAGCCAGTCACTGACTGAAGACTGCCAGTGGGACTTAGGTGAGATTGTTTTGTTTGTCTAAGGCCAATTACCTGGAAAGGGGGGCAGCTGTGAGTTCTTAGCAGCCAACATTCACAGTAGCGGAGGACGGGTAAACCAGCTGAAGCAAAGGGGTTATGGGTAGGGCACCAACAGTGTCCACTACATCCAGCAAATAATAGCAGCTGCAAGCAAAGTACATTAACAAAGCTGGATGCAGAAAGCCCGAGAAATACAGAACCACATATGACGCTCACTCATCCCACGTTCTCCCTTTTGGCTGGCTTCGGTCACAAACTCCGTCTTAGAAGTATTTATTGCATGGCTTCTTCCTGGTGTTTGTGAGTACTTCCCTTGACATCATAACTTTGCAGACTTACCCTCTTTTCCTTCTAGACATACTCCTTCCACCCAGATACCTTCATTTTATTTTCAAATCCTACATCTAATATTTGTACTGCTTAAAACTTAACGTGACTTTTAAAAATTGTGCTTGTATTTTTATTTTTAGTGTTTTGGTTACAAAGCTACGTGGGTTTTGAATGGTCTGATCTTTTGGTCCATGATTTTGCAGAGCACAAGGCTTTCCCGGGAATGTATAAGTGATGTGATAGAACCAACTCGGCAAAGAAGGTAATATTATCCCCATTTTATACCTGAGGCAACTAAAGTTTACATTAAGACATTTACTAGGGAGGGG